ATTTTTGACAGAAGGTTATTAGACACTTCATGCCGATGCTTGACTGTGTCTTTGTCAAAGATGAGCATGATTTTCTCCCCCAGCTCGATGACTTCCTTCACATAATCTTGGCTTGGTCCAGGTTCAAGGTTTTTCTGGGGTGGTGGGGGTCCAGCGGAAGCCATTGTGAGGGGAATAGCGGGCACAAGAGAGAACTGTATACGCGGAGACTGAGAACAATGAGAGTGGCCCGGCTAGGTCAGCGACTTCTTCCCTCTGGTGGCAGGGCACGTCATGTTACATTAGACCAATCACAGCTAGCGGCGGAGGGAGGCAAGGATGCGTGACCCAATCACAATCTGATGTCATATGACGTCAGCGATAACGTAAGAGCAACCTAATGCGCACCCCTCCCCGCGAAGCTTCCCGCGTATGGTCAAGAATGGACCGCGTGAATAAAAAAATGGCGTGGCGCGTCTGGACCGCTCACTCCGCTCGCCACATAAATGATGAAATTAACCACATAATTAAAAGAATTTATTCTGGCAAGGTGCCGCGTAAATGACCAAACGCGTAAACAAAATCCGCATAAATCAAGACTATACTGTATATTATTAACATTAAGAGTAATTCTTTACCTTTTGGAGAATTTAGGGAATCGGATATACAGTATAGGGTAGGTCACATAAGCTAAACTGCCAGAACTTTACAAGTTTCATAATTATCACTCACAGTTTTGGATGATAGATACATAATTTGTTTAACTCTGGCCTACATGGTACAAATGACAAGTCCTGTGCAAATGTGCAGGAAGAATAATTTTATTCTTTAAATTTCATTTATTTATTATTTATAGGTGAGCATATCCTTAATTTTTACTCCTTATTTATCATCCTTCTAATTCATCCATATCCTCACTCTTTCTTCTGACTCCTCTTGGTTTTCATCTTGCATGTTATCCATTCTCAATCATACCAAATTAACATGATATTGCTAGATCCAAGTTGTTGCTTTTTATTCAAAACTTCACCATTATCAGTCGATCTCTTTGTCAAGGGTGTAATCTTCTCAAAATAGATGATTTTGTACAGAAGTGATTATGAGAATGGTAGGTGTGAAGGCATTTAAATGTCAAATTGAAGCATGAACAGTGTCCAGGCAGCAGCTTCAGGAGTCTGGCATCTTATCAAATACCATTAGTTTTCCATGGAATGACAAACCTGGTTTCCCTTCTCTAGAGGTAAGTCTTTTACTTACAATTATATTTGGTATTTTAGTTTTTTGTGGAGTGTTCCCAGGAGTGAGTGGGGGGTTGTCCTGTATTCACAGCTACACTGGGTGCTAACTTACCTTTCCCATCTTTGCTCCTCCAGTACTTAATTTTCTTGTCATTATTACACTCTTCGTAACAGCATTCATTTTAAAGTGAGCCCTAAGTATTTCCTTCAGATTATCTCTGCCATAAACATTCTTCATAGCTATTGTACTTATTAAATTTCATACTTTATTCATGTTTTGATATCTTCAAAGTTTAAGTAATCTGTTTTTCCTGCCTACACGAGAGGGCATACAGAATTACCTCTGTCCGTTAGTTCTAAAAAATTAACTTAGTCCTTCACTTTCAATCGGATTGACTTCTAACTTAGCATTGATCTGATATTATATTCAGATGTAAATAATATTAATGCAGAAATTTTTGATAACTTCATGTGATTATGAACTGTATGTAGACAAAGTGCACAACACCAATTAGAAATAATATCAAAAGCCAAGATCAAAGCATTGTTAAGAGTTGTGCTGTCCCTTTAACAAATAGGCTGTACATTGTGGCCATCCAAATCATCAAACACCTCTCAATTTTTGTCGTTTATTTTCCTCAATATGGAGATAATGCAACCAAATTAATTCTCATACATCTTTAATAATGAATGGCTGTAAAGTCAAAATATGGTTCAAGAATATTTGTGTGTCAAGAACATATGCTTCTCGGTTCCATTCAAATAGTTATTGAAAATGTGTAGCATTGGATAAAATTTTAACAGCTTACATGAAGGTATTAAATGTTTTAATATTTGATTCAGAAGTAAGTTGAAAATTGCAGGAAGCAGAAAAATACAGTAGACCTGATATAACACAAGAGGGGGACCAAGAATTGTCACATAATATCAAATCATATCATATTGTTCAGTGTATTTCTGTGGGAAATAAAAGAGTACAGAACCAGAGCCAAAAATATTTAAGATATGTACTATTCTTTCTTACTTCAACACTAATTCCATTATTTCAAACACTTTTTAAACAAATTCTAACTCGCCTTGAGTCTGAACAACTGCTTCCTGGACTGCATTTGTTCAGATTTGAGGTGACTTATGAAGCAATAAAACTAGATGTTGTGAATCATATATCATGTTATGCAGATGGTGCTGACAAGTGTAAGATTTCATCAGATTGATTGATTGTCTGCATTTTATATTAAACCTTTAAAAGTATATTTATTGAATTTAATTAAAAATATTTAAATGTTTCTGAAAGATGTGAAACGTTAAAAATTATTTTATGGTCTTCACTCCACACCTGACCGTCAATATAGCCAACAAGTGGTTAAAAGTTATGGAGAGGATTAGTGAATGTCCACATGATACAGCAGTTGAAGTAGAACTGTGTAATGCATAGGAAGTGTTGTTGTCATTTGTTGAGCTTCATAAAGGGCTGTGGTACCAATTGTTGACAAGCATGGGGAACTTAAGCCCGTCTAAAGCCGATCCATTTGAAAATAATTACATTGAACACTACTACTGATATTTTTCATATTTTTTTTTCTCCCACAATGTTATATTTGACCACTCAACAGCCAAAACTTAAAGTAACTTAGGATGCTGTATTATATCGAAATTGTTGAATTGCGTTATATCGGGGGTCTACTGTATGGTAGTTTTTACAAATGAAAAAAAGTCTCATAAGGATTACCCTCCCAACAGAACCTTTTTAACCCATTCAATATGGGGATGCTACTTTGAATGTTTTATTTAGCTAATGCTAAAGGATTTTATTCAGTAAAGAGATCCCCATACACAAGGGGATAAATATTAAAGGAGTAATATTTTTCCACACCCTCCTGTAGTGAACATCCACTATGGTAAAAGCTTTGTTATACACTACTACTGGAATTTCTACAGTTCCAGACCATCCTGTGCACTAATTAGAACAGTACTGTAATTCTTTACTAATTTTCTAAAAATATTTTCATGGCTGTAAGTTAAGGGTATTAAATAGTTCTTAAGGGTATTAAATAGTCCTTGGCCTTCATCCTGTCGGGTATTATGACATTGTAGCCAAAAATATCTCATCCATCATCCTATTTTAATTTATTTTCCAAAGTGGCATTCTTTCAGGTAAGAAAGGTTAGTAATGAGGTCTTATCTGAAATAAGACATTTTATGGCTTGAACAATCATATTAATTTTAATTTTTTTCTAACTGGATGCAGTATTTTTGGATACTTTTCTAATTTAATGACAATTATTTCCTAAACGGATTTCCATGTAGGACCGATCATGTAGGTAATCATAGTGCAAATTAAATGAATAGCCTTGTTATTAACCTGATCTGGCAATGTTATTATAGTAAATGACATCGTTTATGAAATGGAGCATATTTTACCATACTGTACAGTATACTGTATGAGCTAATTAAATTCAGTAAAAGGAACACATTTTATGTACAGTACAATATACTTATACAATAGACTCTTTACTATCTGCCATGGTTATGACCAGAGGGTTGGAAGATACTTTACCTGTAAGTATGGCTATAGAAATATTAGCTCCCTTTAACATGCATCCTGTAAATTCCTTAAGTATGACGGCAGGGTTGTTAAATTATCGTGGTGTTTGGCAAACCAGCAGCCAGCTCCCCTGAGAGCTATGGCCTGGTGCAGTGTTTTATTATTATTATTATTATTATTTTTATTCACATTTGCTTTGGAGAGTGTGAACAAGTTCCTGGCTAAGATACTGATGAATGTTGAAGTGTTGGCTGCTGATTGTGATCCAAATTTCTCTACGTTTGTGACATCTTTTTTTCTCAGTGCAGCCGACACAAACGTGAAAAATTACTAACATGAAGATGAAGGGGCCTTAATGTATATACAATATATTACAAAAGTTACCAAGTTACCCTGCATTTAAAAATATAATAATTATAAATAGTTGCATTGACAACATGTATTTATATATGTACAATACTGTACAGTATTTTATTGTATTGTGCTGTAGTAAATACATACAGTAATTATAAACTAGTAAATTAAGTTATAAAAAAATGCGGTTTCTAAAATTGTATCGTTTGTTCAGTTTTAAAAAGTATTAATTAGATTTTTTTAACCTTGATCATCTGTTTATTCCACCCTTGATACATATAGAAAGTCTTTGGGGCTGAGTGTACTCCTTTGTTGACAAACACACACTCAGTCACAAAATATACACAAGGCTAATTTTATGGCTGATACTTAACAGTCTGGTGAATAATTGGTATTTGCAGATAGTCAAAAGTCGACTGTATTATTTTTTTCCCCCTCCAGTAGAAAAAACTGAATATGTTATAATTTAGCATTTTGACTACAGAATTATAGCCCATATTTATGCTGTTGGGTGGTTTTTGTTTTTCCACTGCATCTCTCCACACACCCATAACCATTTTTATCTTTTTCTCATTTTGAGTAAGTAAATGAGAATGAGTGAAATGTTATTCATAATAATGTACAGCTGGAACGAAACTGTTGACGTGTACAGATCGTTTATTTTGTTTAAAAGGATTATGAGGAGTATATGTCATGAGCTAATGATTTGCTGGATACACAAATAAGGAGAAATCATGAATGGTATGTTGGAGGTGTATTTGGAGTGGAATTTCTAAGAAGTTCATTGCTTCAAGTTTCAGATAATTAATACCATCAATACACACACTTTTGCTATGAATTTCTTGATATGTTCAGATGATGTAATTGTTTTCTGTGTTGTTTAGAACCCCTGTGGCTGGTTTGATGGTATCTCCAGCAGGCCTTCAACCTGGGAGGCTGACAGAAATGAGTCCTAACAGCTGTATATTTCTCAAGTTGCCAGAAGCAGAGACTCCAAGTGGACACTATGAGTTAGATATCTTAATGGTATCCGACCACGAGGAAGCATTCGATACCTCATAGTTATAACTCCTGGGACCCTAAAGCAGTGATCACAGAAAGATTACTAAAACTTTAAGAAAATTCAGCATTTAAACTCATTATGAAGCTTATTGTAAATATACTGTACATTTAAATGGGAAAGCTGTTAGACAAAAAGAGTTTAAATTTATAAATGGAGGAGTTGTCTTTGCAGGTGAATTATATTTTTTTAGTATGAGATACATGTCCTGTACATTAATTGTATAAATGTAGTATGTAATTATTTAAGAAAAAGTTATATTTTTAACAAATGATGCCACAGCTTTTAGTCTACAGCTGTTCACAAATGCCACTTACTAGATTCATTCATGTTCATTAACAATGTGTTAGACCTTACTGTTGATGTAGAACTGCCAATACCTCTTAAATTGTATATATTATTTAAGCATAACATTCCTTGACCCCAGCATTAGTTTATTGGAGCATTATGTTCCTCAGTACAAATAGTTGATATATAATTCAAAATCATGTATTAACGCTGGTCTCACAAAAGTATGTATTTTCACTTAATGTAGATATGAAATAAACTTGTTATAATGGTTGGATAATTTGTGAAGTTATTCATCATTGTATGTTCTCTAAGTGAAGAGAAGGTACTGAAGTTGCAAACTGGATACTGGAGACATCTTGTTTGATGCCTGGATCTGTGGATCCTATTTTCTAGTCTTAAAAATCAACCTCAGTGTGAAGCTCAAATTAAGACTTATGTAATAGCATTTTCATTGCAGATAGATTTTATATGGATCAATATTATATTGATTAGATTGTCGAAGTTTAGTGTAAGAAGCTGTTCTTCTGTCAGTAAAGTTTTATAGTATAACTTAATATCATTCCTCATCCCAAACAAAAAATGTAAAGTATCACACATGTAAAATTGGATTTATGAAAATTTTTCACAATGTCTGGATTTACGCGGTTTTTGTTAATGCATTTGGTCATTTACACGGTGCCTTGCCAGAATAAAATGTTTGAATTACGCAGAAAATTTCATCATTTACCCGGCGAGAGGCTGGAGAGGTCCATACGCGCCACACCATTTTGTACTCACACGGTCCATTCTTGACCATACACGGGAAGTGGTGCGGGGAAGGGTACGCATTAGGTCACTATTACTTTATCGCTGACATCATATGACGTATCAGATTGTGATTGGGTCACGCATCCTTGCCTCCCTCCGCCGCTAGCTGTGATTGGTCTAATGTAACATGACGTGCCCTGCCACCAGAGGGAAGTCGCTGACCTAGCCGGGCCAGTCTCATTGTTCTCAGTCTCCGCGTATACAGTTCTCTCTTGTGCCCGCTATTCCCCTCACAATGGCTTCCGCTGGACCCCCACCACCCCAGAAAAACCTTGAACCTGGACCAAGCCATGGTTATGTGAAGGAAGTCATCGAGTTGGGGGAGAAAATCAATCTCATCCTTGACAAAGACTGTCAAGCATCGGCATGAAGTGTCTAATAACCTTCTGTCAAAAATTATGGAGCCGTATGTCCAGATGTATCACGACAACATCAATGCTAGTCGTCAACGTAGTATTACGGACTTCTTTGCCCACAACCCACCACAACCACAGCCAGCCCAAGTCAGTGATAGTAACAGTGATGATATGGACTTTGAGGGGTTTGTCAGGGAGGCCCTGCAAACCTTTGTGAATAGTGATAGTGCTTCACCGTAGGGCAACTACCGGTAATCTGCCCTCTGCCACGGAACCAGCCGCCATTCACGTATGCCGACCCATCTCTTCTACTAACGTAAGTGTTAAACCTTGATTTTCCTTTTACCTGGTACAGTATATTATTCTTTTATTAATATTTCTTTTCTATATTATGTGTGTGCATACCATCATAAAATTAAGATACTATTTTTACTACATTGTGTCGGAAAAAGTGGAGTTTGCGGGTCGGCCTAGTCTCTATTTCAATTACAGTAATCCCATATGTTCTGTTATTTTTTTATGCGGACCTCCACGGGTTCAATTAACCGCGTAAATGCAGACTATACTGTAGAGGGATTTTAAACCTTGTTCTGTAAGTATGGTATGCACATAACGTGTTCTGACATACGTACAAATCTGACTTAAGAACCTTCTCAGGAACAGAACCGTTCGTAACCCGGGGACCACCTGTAGTAATAAAAGTAAATAATACAGTACAGCACTGTAATAAATAAATGTAACTGTGAGGTGATGTGACAAGGTACTTACAGAAAAAACACATTAACAGCACTACTAAACCATTGTCTTAATTTAATTTAAAATGTCTATTTTAAAATTAAATTGGCTACGTTTGCACTGAAACAACTAATCAGTGAATAAACCAGGGCATATGGAGACCTATTGTACACACAATTATATTTGTTAAGTTCTGATATATACATTACATACAATATTATTTACTAAGTGCTCAAGACAGATCCTGTGGTACGCACCGACACTCTTGAGCAGTGACAACAGATATGATCTGCTGTTACTGCTCTGTAAACAAGAGACTGGGAATATACTACTGTACAGCACAATAGTTCATTTGGGATTTTGGGGGGAAAATCAAATAATTTTTGATATTCTATAAACCCGGCACCAAATCAACCTAAATAATATGGGAATACGAGTGAAATTGCATAATGTTGTTATAAAGGAAGCGCGGGAGGCGAGTTGTTCTCTCCTCCTGTGCTACTACACACCGAAATGCAGTTTTGTACAGTATCTTTCTATAATTATACAGGTAGTTCTGCTATAACGCGATAATTGTGTTCTTGTAAAATATCGTGTTATAGAAAATCGCGTAATAGAAATAACAGGGCTTATGGAGAAAATAGGGTTAGGTGCAGATTACTCGAAATCGAAAAAATTTAGTAGTTAGCCTAACACAAAGGATAGCACAGTCTAAATAAATGTTACATTCATATCTAATAATGAAATCATACAGTAAATTTAACACTTTACCTTGAAAAAATATGAATGTAACTTGATGGGGGAGAAGGGTGATTTTGAGGTTGATAACATTGAGCTTCTCTTCAAGTGTTATATCCTTTCTTTTACGATAATCACCGGGAATTCTATCATCAGAGCGCTTTTTGGAGATATTCTTCTTTACCATATTCACAGTTAATACCACAAAATTGGAGAAATAGTAAGCAAAAATCGCGTTATAGCAAACAAGCGTTCGCGTTATACAAATATTGTTCCGAATTCATAAATCGCGTTAGAGCAAATTCGCGTTATCAAAACACGCGTTATAGCAGAACTCCCTGTATATTATTCCTATAATTTATTCATCTTCATCTATTTCATAATATATTCCTAAAATAATAAATGACTGAACCGTTCGATTATTTTAAATTCCTTCCGAATTCAAATCGTTTATTCCTTTTTAATAAAAATAATAATTAAGGCAAATTCTAAATTGTTGTAGAACGATCCAAATTAACGAGGGTACAGTGTATAGAGGTAGTAATTATGGTGGTAATTTTGTTAATACTGTATATAATGAAGTGTGAACACAACCAAAATTGCAATGATCTAGATTTTCCGGAGAACACTAAATCTGTGATCGGTCAGTAGTACAGAGGTAAAATACTTGCTTACGACTGTAATCTGGGTTTGATTCCTGCCTGGGTTAGATGTGAGAAGGGTGTTGTCTAGTGTGGCCTTACAGAGGACAGCAGATTTTCTCCAGGTACTTCAGTTTCATCCTGTACTAACATTAGGCTAGTAAAGTACATTATAAATAGCAAGAAGGATAAATTAAATTATCTTTATCTCAATATTCTTTTGTAATATCTATGCAATAATTAGCAGTATTTAAACCTTCTATCTGCTGTAGTGGGGATACAAACAGCACTGAAACATCATCTTCTAAATGTTATCTCTACTCAAACAAACAAACCATCCTGCACAAGATATTATAAACGGTGTCAACAAATTGTAAAACACTGCCTTAAAGATTTTTGTAGGTCCCACTTTAACAATTGGGGATAATGTTGCTGTTGTAATACAAACAACTACCACAAAAATGTAAGGCAGGTTTTATTTATTTTAGACATTCTGTAGTGTTAGTTTTATTGTCTATTCAAATTATCTTAAAAATATTAAAATCCATCGCACTTTACTTGACCGAGTTGCCTAGATTATCAGGATTACAGCGGTATTTTGGGCAGCATTCTGGGTACTGTGCATTTGTATCAACCACCACGATGCATTTGTAGGTGGTGTTGAAGATTTCTGTATCACAGCTGAAAAGGATTAGATAAATTTGTAATAATGGCATGGTTATGCCTGTCTTCAATTCCATGTAAAGAGGTTGAGTGTAGTGTGTGCTGGAGGCTGCATGAAGAGTGGTTGGTCTGACTTTGTATACTGTACAGTACATGGATGTGGATGATGTTTTTGTGATGGATGAGGAAGCAGTGGAGATGGACAGTTTATGTACAATCAAGGACAGTGTATCAAGATGGTATGAACATATGTAATACACAGCAGGTGAGAGACTGTCTGATATGTCATTTTCAAGAAATGTAGATTTTTGGTCAGAGAGAGAGAGAGAGAGAGAGTGGCATTCTCGACCCACGAACCTCTTGATAATCTGCCCAGTGGGCAAGGAGTGAGGGTGCTAATAACATCCCAAGTTAAGCTGTATTAAGTATAAAGAAATTGCTAACAAACATCTAGTACACCTGAGTTTGTTTTTTTGCCAAGAACTTCACCTCAAAGGTAACATAACAGTCAAAAGAACAATCTAGGTGTCACTGTAATTATTTCATTAAAGGAATGAATAGCCAGTCATGCCAAAAGGTGTAATTTGGGTGCATGAAAGATACACAGACTTTTTAACCAAGGAGGAATGTGACAGTCTAGTGGCACAATTCCTAACTTTCTCATGTCTAAATGCTCATCAGTCTATTCCACTAGTACCTACAAACCACCAACAGACTGTAAGACCGATGACTAGGTAGTAGGTAGCAGGCAGCTATCAAACAGGGAGGTACTACCACCTGGGAAGATATTGGAAGCATAATGTGTTGTCTTATGGTAGAACCTGCTGCCATATGGCATCCCGAAAATTGTGACCAAGTCCCAGGTTGCTGATCTGACTTTCTGCCTCATTTACACACAATTGCAGGGTCTCAATTGTTTCTCTTACTTTGACAACACAACATACATAATGTATGTCGTTTCTCATTCTTGATTTATTTTTCTCGTTTTTTGTATTTATTTATGGTCTTGAACTCCACATGGTGACATAGGACGTGTTCTAAGAGTTTTAACTAAACCCCTACAAGAGCACAGGTACTGTATTGATAACATCCCAGCCAGGTTCTTAAAAGATTGTGCCACTGTATCAAGAACACCAGCAACACATCTAATGAATCTCTCTATTAGTAACAATATTGTACTGTATTGTACCAGATAAATACAAGTTTGTCGGAGTAACACCTATCTATAAGAAAGGTGACAGGCCTGGTGTAGGCAATTGCAGGCCAGTTAGTATCCTGTGTATTGTTCTAAAATAATACATTCCCATGTATTATTAGTCTACAGCCTTACTCCTTAATTCCTGAGGTTTGGCAGAGTTTGACATGTTTTAACGTCACTTTTATGCATCGTCCATGGTGGTACAGAGGTAAAGTGCTTGCCTCTCACTACAGTACTGCATAATAAAGAAGAGACCAACCACTCAAACAACTAGGAACCTGATAAGTTGTAGAAATGACAAGTAAGTGAAAAATAATTATCGTTCACTAAAAGCAGAAACAAGGTACTGTACAAAATCAAACTTACGAGTCGGTTTCAGCATGGAAGGTTCCGCGGAAATGAACACAGGTGCGACGCCGACATCCTTTAGTATACCACGTCTGGCCAGCAAAGTAGAAGCCTTCAGTTGTGTGGCAGCCACCTGGACCTGCCGATAATAAAACAAAAGTCCTCAACTTTGAAGTAACAAATCACTCTGATGTAAAAAGAATAGAAGGAATAACAGAAATATGGTAAGTACTGTATAGTCAATAAAAAGTCTCAATTCAACTTAAAATCATACTTCTGGTCTACACTAGGCAGTGCTTTAGAAATATCAACTGATACCGGTATACCTGTATGTTAAAAATGCATAATTGATTGCTTCCCCCCCCCCCTCCCAGGTTGCTGTACTGTACTTTTCAGAATAACATCCGCTGAGATAATCTGAATTACATCAACCTAATAATCCATATATCACTTTCTACATCAATGGTTCTTGCATATGGTTGTTACAGAAGTTAATTGCTACTATGGCAGCCATCTACGAGACAATATAACTAAACTTATCACGAGGAATTTCCAGGTCAGGTTTGAGGTAATGCAGTCTAGGAATTTAGAAGTTGGAGGAACACTAGACTGCAGTGGTTCTCAACCTTGTTTGCCCCATAAACCCCTTTCACCATATGTCAGAATGTCATTCCCCCTCCTTTCCAAGATTGTCTGCCTCAAAAAGTGCATTCCAAATAATATGCATATAATACTGAAAATCCTTTATTTTTTCCATATTAGTATCAGTTTTCCCCCCCCTGAAAACCTGAGGGGGGGGAATTCCCCCCCGGTTGAGAACCCCTGCACTAGAGGGTGAGGGACACACACACTCAGTACAACAGATGGTGAAAGAAGGATATGCATGAATCCAGAAAGTAGTCACAAATACAGCAATATAATTAATGTCCAGAGAACGTCAATTGCTCCCCTCCGCCCCCCCCTAAAAGTCGTCATATAGCAGAATTTGTGAGTCTAAAAAGTAACACATGTTGAAAATTATTCTTTAATCCCTATTGAGCTATAGATACAAAGTCTTATGTAACCAATATCTCTTTAAATAAACGAGAGGTACTGCAACCCATAGATCATATGCCAACTTACACAATACTTTCCGAAAAAAATCTTAAATTAGAATGCCACAAGCATGGACGGACGTCTGCTAGTGTGGCAAGAGAGGTGCCCCCACCCCCTGGATCGGGTTTGTCAAAATACAGTATATAAACAACAAATACCCAACAAAGGGAATTTTTAATCCTTAAATAAACAAACAAGGGAAGGAAAAACAAACCACTAAATTATTAGCCCACCAAACCCGACTGTGGGGGCTTGCCTCCCCCCTCCCCCCGCAAAGTTCCAGAAGACTTCCCTGAAAAAGTTCCACAAGACATACTTTAAAAAAAAATTTTGGCGTCACACTAGTACCTTTCCGTCGACTTAACCGGTTACCCGACGTTTTTTCGCTCAGACGAAACGTATCGTTTCCGCCTGACTGACTGACTTACGCCAATTTCTGTGGTAGATCTACCTGTATACTCGTCAATGAGCCACGTAAATAATTAAATTTAATTTCAAAAGTATTCATTATCGCATTTTTAATAAATTGCTTAAGTGCAAATTTTTATTTATGTTGATATTCGTAAATACACCTGATGTTTGATTACATTGAGCCATGTCTATTCCTGCGTGGACCTGCCTGTCCAGAGAATACATGATAGACAATATTAGATCTCATCGTTGCCTGTGTGATTCAAGGGACGATAGATACAGTAAAAAAATGAAAAGGAAGGCATACAACGCCATCTCTTGTTTACAATTGAAGAATGCGCAAAGACGGCGCTATTACAGCTACTTTTTGAGACACTACTGTATACCATTGTAGGCATTATTATACTGTTTCAGATTGTATTGTTTCATGACTTGTTCTATGTATTGTTTCATTATTTATTCTGTGTATGTCTTACGACTTCTATGTATTGCTGTATGTATTCTTATATTGGATAGTCAATCTATAATAATGTAGTTGTGGTAAGATTAATGATAGTATTGGTTCATGAAGCTTCAATATGGTTACGGGTACATGTTGGGAATACCGGGCGTAGCGATGTTCACTTGTTTGGGGTGGTTTTTCCCGCCGCCGAGGTGGGGTCCTTATCCCCGGCCCTGGGAGTACTGTACTCTCACTACCCCTACCCGAGGTGCAGACTCGCCTGTTTCCCTTTAACTTAGGAATTCTTCCACACCTTACTTCTAACTGAGGTGCACCGGGGAGTTTTGTGTCATCCTACGTTTATGTACGCAGAGGTTCTAGATACGACTATGTACACGGTAAGTGTTGTCAACAATGTCAGTGTAGTTTATTTTGATCTTTACTTATTTCTTATTGGTTTCTTTATTGTACATAAGACATGCAAATATGGAGCCAAAGTAATATTAATTTTTATATATTAATTTGAATATACTTTGTCCTATTTGGACAGTGGATATTTTGCCGTGACTAATCAAAACAATGCACAGACCCTATTAGAACCTCGCCTAACTTCCTAACCTGTGCATTATCGTTTCTATTTTCCTATTATCTAAACATCTCTATAAAAAATGAACGCAGTGGATATTTAGCCGTTTTGTTTGCCGGAAATGGACGGTTAGCCAATCAGGGCTCACTCACGGTAAATAGCGTTAGTAGGAACTAGCCGGTCACAGCAAAATAACCTTAAATGACGAATAACTACAAGAGTATCCGTATAGTCACTTGATGCCGAGTTTTCAGGGGAACTTATTGCATGTGTGTTAAGGTCACTGTCCCAGTGCTGGAACTATACAAGTACAGTATTTGTCAACTAGACATAATACTGATAGCTCTGCCCTCTTGTTTCCCCTTAATACAACCCATGTTGTACTGCTCCCCCTTTATCATATTTATGTTTATCAACTCCGCTATAAAGTATGTATATACTTATAATATAAATGTAAAAAAAAAACAATAAATAAATTAAATAAATATCTAAGTGATAACCGTGGTAACATTCTGATGCTCTTATTACCACCATGCTATGTACGATTCCAGGTGATACTAATGTTACATAATACTTCCTTGAGATAAATGTACAGTATACTATATACTCAGGTACCTACAAGAGAGTTCAGGCTGTCAATTGGCTCAGCAATGTTAATGTTATTATTTTTTAATCGACTGTATTTTATTGTTTTTTTTTTTAAGGGAATTAGCCCACCCGGGCACAGGTCAAACGACCCACAACGGAGCCTTGGGGAACGGAAAGAAATTGAAAATATAGAAGAAAGGTTATACTGTATTAATCTACACCATGAAAAGATCCATCAATACAAAGTACGCGGCGAAGAGTACGTCGCCAACACTAGCCTTCTAATTTATATGTATTTTTTATTCGTAATTAATACAAACATTTTACTAACATATCTACAAAAGAAACTTGTATTATGACGAATGACAAGAAAAGTATTCCATATTCTACCATATCTGGAAAATACTGCTACTAATATGAGGCAACACCCTAGACTAGAGCATTTATCAGTGCACTTAATGTGTTGTCACTGTCTTACACGATAATGTAAGGGTAACTTTCTGTCGGATGTATACGTACTAAGAGTCCTAGACAGTGAGTGTATGTACAGTATACGTTAATCTGTATTTCACTGCAAAATCCATACCTACATGTGCAGGGTCATGTGTAAGTTTTCCCCATAGTTCCATGCCCATGTTCACCTCGTTACGTTTTGATTGTGTATCTGACTTCTAAGCAAGCATTTTCACTTCACACCCTCATTAGTCCATGTGAAGCTAATTAAATGATTCACATGGGCAATATAGTGTGTAACCCAAGACCTATCACACACAAAACGATAAAAAAGTAGTTTCTATTTTTACTCCATATTATTTATCACAAGAAGAAAGTAGAGGGCCGGTAGTAACAGATGAGTGCCAGATGGACACAGGCACACACATCACGCTGTGACAATCTCCCGCCATGGTTGTCTTGCGTTGTCATCACGGAGGCTGATCACACACACACACACACCTCTTCGTTGGTGCTTGCTGACAACACTTTCACCACAAATTTCTCATAAGGGAGACGAGGTACTTATTTTTTGTTTTATTTCAACTAAAACCAATTATCAAATGTTGGCTACGAAAGAACGTGAAGATGAGACATACAAGGGGAATTGGATGTTTTGTCCTTTAACATAACATGGACAGGATTTAAATCAATCATATTTCAAATACCTAAAAATCCAAATTAAAAGTAGCTGAACAACATATGTTTCAACAAGGATGGTTTACGGTTAGGAGAGGCTGAGTTTTAACGATAAAGTGATAACGCCAAAGACTTCCTTCGTATTTCGACGCGTTTTATAGTTTAACCGATCATGCTATACGTTACACACTTCCATATTAAAATCGTTCTATATACAGTAAAATACCTTATCTTAAAAACTTAATAATAATAATAATTCGGTGGGATGCAACATACCTAATCCTAATCTAACCACATAGCTAAACTTAATACAAGATACTAAATCAAATCCCAATCTGACTAATCACAGCCGATCATAATCTAGCTTAAATTTAGCCACACATGCTAACCAAATAATACCAAATCCAATGTAACTAAACCTAACCTAACCAAACAGCCAAATCAACCACCCTAACCTAACCAAGTTTTATATGAACCAATCTAACTTACGCCAACATAACCCAACGTAACCAAAGCGCGATCAAATAATATATACCAAACTAAAGAATATTGATTCGACACAAACTAACAACATGTAATATCATTAAACCAAATGTAACTATGTCTAATTTTATCTAACCAAACATGACCCAATCAAACACTCCATAATTCAACCAAAGTAAAGCTAGTCTTACCTAACCAAACATGAACTGACTTACATTTATGTTTGGTTAATTAACTGATTCACAGGTACATAATTACCCGTTGGTTATTTTAAAGATATCTCTTCAGTACGATGACTTAACTCCTTGAATATGGTTACGCAATGCTCAAGCGGTTAAGTCATCGTCCTCAAGGCGGTGATGAAGTTATCTTACTCAAAAGGTTAAGTCATTGCATTTAGGGGTACAGTCATTGCACTGACATAATCATTACGTTCTCTCTCCCGATGGCCGAAAAAATGCTAGTCATGTTCTCGCTCGAGGTTAGGTTACGTTAGGTTAGGTTTTAAAAGAACTATTCAATTCTCGGCCATCGCAAGATAACGTGACGAGATTTGTACATACTATTAATTATGTTCGGTTTAAGGACACAGCACTAACCTTCATTATTGTGGTGTTGGTTTTTTAGGATCGTCGACGCGTGAGGCTTTGAGATGGAAGGTTTAGTAACCATCTTGTGTGATTCCTTGGTTGTAACATGTGGTTTGGTAGGATGCGAGGAGTGGGGTACTGGTCGAGGCGGTGGGTGTAGTGGCTCTGTAGGAGGAGGGAAGTGTGGTCCTAAAGATGGTGGACTAGGTGGTCTGGCCGGGATTGGAAATGGTCTCAAGTGTGGTGGTGGTGGTCCTATGGGTGGTGGTGGTCGTCCTATGGGTGATAGTTGTGGTGGTCCGATGGGTGGTGGTCTTCCGAAATTTCTAGGGAATGGTTCGTTGAAAAATGGCCTACTGGGTCCTCCCACAGGTTCGGGTAAGCCTTGGCGGTGAAAATTTAAGGAGAAGCGAACACCTGGTTCCTCGTGATGTATGATGTGGCCGCCACTTCCCAAAGGAGGAAACCGGTGCAAACCTCCTCCTGATATATGCCGAGGCCACTGAGCCTCCCCGAGCGCCGCCAGAGGACCCTGGGTCAACACTAACACCACCAACACTGATGTCCACATGGCGGAATATCCTGTTTTATTATGATTATTATTTTTTTGGGGGGGGGACTCTCTCTCTCTCTCAAGTAATTATCTAACAGTACTTTTCAGAAACTTGTAAATGCCACTCACTGATCGTCGACTTCTTTTCAAATTGATTCAGACATTTTTTCTGTCAGTTACGAACTGTCACAATAATCATCCACTAAGAGAGATAACACAGGTTAGAAATTACAGTCATTGCAAAATGGAAAGAAATAAGTTAAAAAATTTACTTCCCTCAATCAATTTAAAATCACAACCATGCCACAGAATAAAGCCGGACTAAATTTACTTACGATCCAATCACCCACAGCCACAAGACAGCCCACCCGCAGTACGTAACGGAGAACTGATCGGTCACCCGTATAGCAGATCAACCTCGACTAAGATGACAAGAGGCGAAGAGGCTGAAATAAACTTACTGAGACTAAAGCTTGACGAAGATAAAGTAAGTTTACGGAGAAAAAAGCTTGACGGAGGGAAAACCAAACAAGGGGTAAGTGATATGTTAATTTAATGCGGTCCTTGGCGGTATCATAGTTATTTTACCCTCCCATGAAGATAATCACACGAGTACACATTATTTCACGATTACTTTTAATTCCGGGTTACTTATTACCAGACCTTCTCAAGTTCCACATTATGTTAACACGAGTTACTTGGGGATTCTTTACAAATATCACTCGGAAGAACAATAACATATACTCTATGATTATTTAATTTGACGCTTACCTATTGTATACTGCTGGTCATGTTATTTAACAAAAACCACCTTCAGCAAAACCGACTCAATCTCTTACAAATACGATCCAGATTCGATTCCCGCCTTAGAGGGGAGAATAGTGTTATCTGCTGTGACTTTACCAAACACGGGAACAACGGGAGGATGAAAGCGGTAAGAGATAAATAAAAGAAAGTAAGGAAGAGTATTATAATAGATCTGTGTATGAGTTTGTCTGTCTGTCTGTACAAAATTAGGTCAACGGTTCAGCAGTGCAGGTATATAAATAATGGTAAACGCTAAGTCAATGTGACTAAGAATATGGAACCCAGATATTCTTTATTGTTGACACTTTTCCCACCTAGTCGCGACACACCATGCTGTGTTCCTATAATGACACACCGGGTGTTTGAGGTACACAGCTCTCACACCGCACTGTGCTAGATAGTCTCATCATCATTAAATGGGAACAACAGATACATTAACTAATCAACTATAATCTATACAAGTCACAGCAGTTACAGGAATAAAAATGTGAACGTGTTTTAAACTGACAAATCTACCCAGAGTGCGATGGAGAATTTCTCAACACATTTCGGCATCATGTGGTTGTCCTTAGAAAATAATGGGTTGTTTTATTGCACACCAAGAAAAAAAGGTTAACTTTGCGAATTCACTCACTATTTACTCTTATTCAGTCAAATTGTTCATTAATATTGTTACTCAGCTAAATTCACTTCCGATTGATGACTTACTCAGCCACGTTTATTCACTATCAATGTAGTATTACTCAGCGAGGTTCACTTACTGTCACTCTTACTAATTAAGGATCACTCACTGTTAACTCGCGAAATTCACGCTTTGTATCAGTCCCTTAACCTTAAGTATTACAGTACTGCATATAAGTTCACTCACTGTATCGATGGACCTTACTCAACGGAATTAGATTTTTGTAAAGATGCGTTTACTCGACAAAGTTCCTCACTATAACCATCACTGACGTTCACGAGGATCACTCATTACATAAAACAGTCGTGTTTACACTATACTGTTTCCTTCACAGAGTCAGTACAAACACTAATAATATCACAGCTTCTTGACGGCGATGGACACGAGGCCGAACTCGCTTGACGATTGTGGTGAAAAGTACTAATTATGCATTTCAGACGACAGATCTCAAAGTCAACACAACTTGCTTGACAGGTGGTGTGTGTGTGTGTGTGTGTGTGTAGATCTGGCCATCCACCCACCAGCCACAGTTGGATGCTCTTAACACTCACTCGATGCTGCTCCCACTCATCTACTGACTGCCTCACCATACTCAGTCCTTTAACCCTCCACTGTCTCCACCCAGCTGGCAGCTACGTGTTGATGGAGGGAGGAGCTACGGGAGGGAGAAAGGGAAGGGTAGCCTAGTAGATTATCTCTCAATTCTATTATCCTGGGTTCAGTCCTCCGCATGGGATAAATGTGCGAACAGTGAGACAACCACCCGATTGGCTCGTAAGATGATAAGTAGTGAAATTATAAATATAAATATGCCTTAAAAGTTACGCCAAAAATATTCAGTAAAGAGTGAAAGTAGCAGCATCATCTTTGAGCCATTACTTATTTTGCTAGTTTATACATTAATATCTGTTTTTGGTTGAAATATATCATTTAGTAATTTTTCTCTGATATCTCGTATTGCTTCCCGCAGTATTAAAGCGTAATGAACCGTGGAAAATTTCATAGTTTGTTATATACTGTTACGACCCCCCTTTCTCCTCTTACCCAGCGTCCACCCCTGGTTACCAGCGGCCAGGGTCGTATATACAAAAGCAGTAGATATATCACAAGTGTCGTCGAATACCACTGGTCGTCACGCCAGTCTCCGGTAATTTTCCGACGATTGGTATCCGTGTACAGACAAACAACAGGCAGGTAGATTTCCACCAGGTCACAGAAACACACTTGTGTGCTGTTGTATTTTTTTAATAATCACTAAATCTTCACAAAACTGTTCACAGGGTGTGTCTTTACCACTGGACTTCTCACTTCGAATATATACAGTCAGCACACTGCCAGTGTACAACTCCTTACTGTTTTCTCTTTATATCTCTCACAACAATTCCATAAGACTTAAACACCAATTATCTTTAACTTGTACTTATACTTCACACATAAAGCAGAAACGGGCGACACCTTCCAAGGCAGCTCATGGGTGTTTATAGACGTCTAGTCAGACGCCTAGAGCATTCTAGCGACATCCAGGCATTGCAGGTCGGAACGAGATATACGTGGAGAGTTCTATAATGATCTAGGCTTATAGTACGTAGTAAATCATACAAAAATAATGCAATGCATTCTAGAAATTTCTTACTTAGGTATTACATCAATATATACAAGGAAATCTCCCCAAACTTGCCAAAATAACTACTGCTTGGAATAGAAAATAATCAGAATACCTAGTTCATAATAATTATAATTCCAAATTATGCCTAGGCATAACAAAGCATTTTTCAAACACTAAATAATCTGTATTCCTGCCAGCAGTAACTCACATTATTTTTTACTGCTTTGAACTAAATGTAATGTAATACTGTAAACTGTAAAGTTCAGAGCTATTGATAAATCAAGGAAGGTTTAAACTTGCTGTCATTGCTATATGAAAGCTCATTATGATTATTGTCCATCCAGTTTGTGGTGTAACTAAGGATAATTTTTCTGCTAAACTAAGTTGTGTCGTATCAAAGCCAAGTTTAATTATCGCAACACAAAACGAAAATATTTGTTATTTACAATAGACAGCAGTTTAAAAATATTTATTTTGTATTTTAACATAACTCCACTGTGTATGTGGGGAGCACACGCTAGGGTTAAAGTTATTGGCAATAATGTGGTACAAAACTGTAGTGTTCAGTTCAAATGATAATAGTTCTCTCTTTTTATGTAACCACAGAGTATAAGCGCTCGTTACCTTAATGTAACTGGCGCAACTCTCGAACACTGCGATGCACCATGCCAGGCCCGGGACTCTTATGGACCTTTAGCTTTGACAAATTATTTCTTATAACCTCTTCTGAGAACACAATGTGGGTTAGCGCTGTGTAAAACCGTCTTTTCTCAAACGCAGGAAGATTATTCGCATCCTCTCCTGTGAACTTCGAGGAAAAGAATGTGGTCAACGCCTCCGCCTTGTCCTGTTCAGAATCTGCGTAACTACCGTCTTCAAGCCCCAGATCTGATACGCCTACTCGCGTTTTTAATTTCTATTTTGCGTCGCGGTAAAAAGCCTTTGGGTTTGACTTGACCTCGCTTGCAATCCGCCTCTGGAACCTTTTCAGCCCTTCTACACTGACTGGTTGGTTCCTGGATCTGGCATACATCCTCCTGTCGGGTCGACATTACCAAACATGGCAGGTTTCCACCTGTACTAACACCGGACAAAAGGGTTTATAGCAAAGTAACAAAGAACAGAACGGCAAATGAACCGATGAGTAGTGAAATGATAAATTATGACTGAGCTGACACCATTCTTCATTTAATTAAAAAAATATATTGTAATATATTTGTTAAAATGTAATCGGGGCATGTATAACAAAACTTGAAATTACGCACGAGTGAATTTAAAAAAAAATATGAATGGAATTGACATCAGGGATGATAAGACTCATAAAAAGGTTATACAAAATGCATTTACACTGAAGACTCATACAAAAACTGTGTAGGAACCCAGTCTTACGGCAAATTATGATCCTATAATAAGTGAAAATAATTAAAATAACTACAACAACAATAATAATGATGCTTAGATTAATAAATATATTTTATTTAACACGTTTTACAAGTGTGAAAATTTGCATATAGACACACTTGTAAAATACGATTACTGCTTACTGGTTGTGTGGGGCGAGTGGACGGGACGAATAACCTAGTCACGGCGTCTGTTGTGCCAGAAACCAAGAAAGCGCCCCGGGGCTACTACTGTTATTTATCATTACCAGGGATTTTTTTTTATCGCCAAACCAATTATGTTTAAGTGGATTTCTGCCATTCGGTTAATCGTGTTCGTTAATGATCGTCTCCACAACACCATTCTCCATGACCTTTCCCACTCGTTATAGTGATAAACTTGGATACTTTTACTTTTCATAGTTATTGCAATACATAGAGAATAATCTTATAAATGACTTGAAAGGTATTTTTTTCCTTACTTTATTTAATTAATGATATTTTTGTGGTGAAATAATGTTTACCCACAAAAAATAATTATATTAAACGTAACTGAAAATTGGCTTGAATTTTCCCAGTGTGACTTTGCGACCTGACAACCAATCACCCCCGTCACCTTTAATTAACGCGTGCGTGTAGAGAATGTATAATGCTTGTGATGACAATTAAATATACAGTCGCCACTATTATATGCTAGCTCTGGGCACCCCGCTCCCTCTAAAAATCCCTGAATCCGCCCTCAATTTATATCAGCTGGTGTGAAGCCCAAAGTAGACAAGTGCGTCGTCGTGAAGTCAGCCCAAGTAGCTCCAACAACGAAAGTAAATACCGCGAGGGGATCCCAGTCAACAAACAAGAAAACTTTCACCCAACGGACACGAGCAGCTCGGCCAACTTTCCTTGTCCAAGATGCCTTTGAGCTGATGCATCTAATTTTTATACAGTATTTAATCCGTTTGTGTTGTGAGTACAGGGTGTTTATAGGGTACCTTGATGTTTGTATTTACAGTACAGTTCCTTGATGTTTGTGTTTACAGGGACTATATCAAGGGACTGTAAACACAAGCATCAAGGGTACTGTGGGGTACGAGATGTTGGTTCGCAGTCAGGCTGGGATGGAGAAGGTGTTGCTTGAAGACTGGCTGTAGGTAGAAAGAGCGGTCACCACGAGGTGTGGGTCGCCATGGTCGCCGGCTGGAGCGAGGGCCGCCAGGCAGGAGTGGAGGAGGTGTTGCTTGATGTTGCTTGCTGGTGGCGGTAAGTAGAATGAGGTAGGTCACCACGAGGTCAGGTCTTATATAGCGGGGGTAGGCGTGGCTTAATAGTTGACCTCAGTCATGTAAGGCGGCGCTGGTTGACCCAGACCACGAGGCATACACTGGGGTATTCGCGGGGTCGGCGAGCCAGCGACAAACAGCGTTTGTAGGGGAGGAATCCACTACAGTACACTGTACAATAAGCAGAAATCTAATAACGATTATCTTTGTAACTATAAATAACAGCTATTGCTAAATAACCATCGAATCTAGTGTATATACGAAACCTATCACTACTATTATATGGTTGACGCTACACATAACAATAACACGCCTAGTGAGTGATAAATTAAAACTCACCACGCACGACTACTGCTTCGACCACATGTCAATAATTTACGATGGTCAGTTACTCATCTTGTTGTAGTAATCCTGACCCGGTGGTCTAAATCAAGGAGCATAGGTGGGGGGAGGGAGGAGCCAGGATGATGTGAAACCGATGAGCGCGAGCCGAGACTTTCACTCGGGTGTGATGTATTGCCAAGAGCGGTTGGTTAGATATTGCCGCGTCACACTTTAGCTATTCATTATTTAGCTAAAGTTGATAAGTTACCGTAATCCACTTGTGTTTTTTTATACTTTGAAATCATAATTGAATGACGAGGAGGAAGTTGTGTGAGTGTGTGGGAGGAGGAGAGGTGATGCATGGAGGAAGTTGTGTGAGTGTGTGAGGAGAGGTGATGCGTGAAGTTGTATGAGTGTGTGGAGGGAGGAGAGGTGATGCGTGAAGTTGTATGAGTGTGTGGAGGGAGGAGAGGTGATGCGTGAAGTTGTATGAGTGTGTGGAGGGAGGAGAGGTGACGGGTGAACTGTTGCGAGCCGATAGCTGTACCGTACAGGAAACGGGCATTTAAGGCGCGGCGAGGAACTTTTGAGAAATGAACAGGTAAGTGTATCACATCGACCTGACAACCCATTTGAACCTTCCCAAATACAAGACTTAAGTACTGTTGGGTGCACTGTGTGTGTGTGTCCTGGGATCGAACCAGCGTCCTTTAGAAGTGGAAACAAGCTCTGTATCCACTCGGCCACCTCATTCATATTACTTCAAGTTAATTTGATCAATTTGTTTAGTCTTATATATTTTTTTTCCGAAATCTGATTTGTCAGGCGGATTGGTGTCCTCACATAATGTCAAATATGCTCTCTCGGTAAGTGACACCCTCCACGGTGTGCTGTATGAAGCAAGTACGTCAAAGTCTAGATTACATTA